ATATATACACACACACACACACACACACACACGCACACACACACACATACATATATATATATATATATATATATATATATATATAATAAAAAAAATGTACTAGTAGGGGTGGTATGCTAAATTTATATGCCAAAAAGTGCAGTATTCCACTGTATTGCATAGATAGGTATAACATATAACTGAATAAGCCAAATACAAGTCTTCATGATCTCACACACTCACACACACACACACACACACACACACACGCACACATCTGTTTACTGTTCACACACAAAATTTTAAAGACGGGGAGGTGCCGATCGAAGTCTGCTGCCGTTTTCATATGAAATTTAAAGGGGACTGAGGTGATCACTAATTCGTGTAGTTTATGGAGCTAATCGCAAAATGTATAGCCCCACTAAAAATGGCCTAGCGACGCCCATGTTTGATAGAAAGGTATGTAATGGACAATGTTGGATGTAACGCATTACTAAGTAATAATAATAATAAGATTCATCTACTTTTCATCGTTTTTGGAAGACCTGCTATGAGGAATAAGCCGGAATTTACCTTAGAAAACAGCACGATCTGACGCGGCTTTATTCAGCGGAGGATATCATTTCTGTAATTTATTATTTTTACATAAACTTGTATGGATTTTACTAGTTGGGCTTTTCATAACCATCTTGCCAAACTTAAATGTGGGAGTGCAATATATTGAAATATATGCATTCAGATGTAGGCTTTTTATTTTACTATAGCCTATAACGAAACGAGGATTTTTTTTTTGCTATCATAATAAAAATATGATTTATAATATGATATAGATATATAAAGTAATGGGAATATTTACACTGCACCATGATGAATGTTACATAAATATTTACTTCAGTGTTTACTGATCTACTATCATTTGTCGATGTTAATAATGTGTTAAGCAATAAGTATTTAGTTTACAAAATATCAGAATGTTGATTATGTACTGTATGGTAATACAAGCATGTGCATGAATGACAGTACAAAATCTTGTTTTTGTAAGGAGTAGGCAAAATTAGTATTAGTGACTACCAAAACATGTACAGTATGTCAGTGTGTATGAAATATTGTAGGCTACTCGTTGCTTTATAAAAAATGTAATGCTTACAGCTTGATACATGCAATGTTTAACTTTTCTTGAGTTTTTTTATTATTCAGATATTTTGCAGAGTAATTCTATTTGTTAACCAAAGAAGGTTACATTTTTTGTTAAAATGTTTAAGTACTACATTTGTTTTAAAACTAAAACGCTAAACTATTCCACGTTTGACACAAATTGAAAGAATAAAGAGTTTAATTTTTATTGTCTCTGCTTTAAAGTTTATAGGGATTTTAACTAAAGTTAACGATTTAAATAATTAAGTTACTTATTGAGCAACTAAATTACTTTTCAGACACTGGTAATGGATTACAATCAACCAAAAATTATTCAGCTGTTAAATTTAAGTACACAATTAGATAATACCAATTTAGGTCAACCAATGACCAAGCAATGCTTAATTTTGTTCAGTCTGTGGTGTAAAAAGGTCGCATTAGCAATTAAAGAAAAAACACTTAAGCAAAACTTGGTCAGGTCAAAGTGTCTGAATAATTTTTGGTCCCAAATTTTTATCAGTTTTACTGGTAGTCCACTGTATGAATAATTTTTGGGTATAATATATCCTGACTTACATAAATGAACTATAGTGTCCTGGACCCACTAGTAAAAAAAATATATAAAAAATTATATCTGGTGTCTGAATAATTTTTGGTTTGACTGTATATAGGCCAAAATATGGTGCCATATAAGCAGCCAAAATGTATCAAAAATATTCTTTAAATCTTTTTAAATAAATAAAGCTTACATTTTTAAGTGACATAACATAACTTGATTAAAGCAGTGAAGCTGGCATTATTTTGTCTGTTAGTTGCTATCTAGCACCAAGAGTGAATGGGGCTGTCACTAGTATTCTGGAACTCAATGACATTCAGAAATGTCCCAAAAGTGCAATGAGAAAAGAGACTTGGAGGGGTTTAAGGAGAAATCAAACACGGATTTGGACCAAGCAATCGAAAACAGAGCGAAAACAGCCTAGAAATATTCTGTTCGTACTAACCTTAAAGAGGCAAAGGTCGATGACTTGGGAGCAGACCTCTCTCAGGTCTGTGCAGACACGCAGTCGGCTGTGTATGAAGGCACAGAGCTCTTCATTAGTGACAGTGTCCCACACACCATCGCAGGCCAGAACCAGAAACTCATCTGCTGGCGAGCGCTCCACAGCAGACACTTCCGGCTCTGGCGATACCATCTGCTCCGTGACTGGCCGGCACTCAGCTGTCTTGTAACTGAAGTCCCCCAGTGCTCGGGAGACTGCCAGCGAGCCGTTCACACGCTGCAAAGTCACCGATCCTCCAGCATTCTCTATTCTCTCCCTCTCGCCGGGGCTGAAGGGCTTGTGGTCTTCCGTCGAGAAGGCCACCCGTCCCGCACGGCACAAGACTGCCCGAGAATCCCCGCAGTTCACAAAGTAGATGTGGTGTGGAGTGATAGCGGTGGCAACGACAGTCGTCCCTCCGCGTTCCCAACCCTCACGGCAGGCCATGGCATGAAGGTGCTTGTCCATGAGAAAGAAGCCCTCCTTGATGCCCTCAGTGACCCTTACTACATCCTCATCTGCTCGGATCTTTCCTGAGAGGAAATAGCTTGTGTCACTAAATAACCAACAAGGCCTTTTGGTGACTTCAAACAGATCACGTTTGCATGTTCGCAAACGACGAACCTAAAGGCTTCATTAGAGCAGATTGCAAGGATCAACCATTATGCGACTTCTAATTGCTTTAGGAGCGTGTTGTACACCACAATTAACTTGTCAGATCACGGCTTAATTGGGTAATAATGTTGCTGTGGCTTTGGATGTACAAATGAATCCAATCTGATGAGATCCTCTTGGATCTATTCTAAAGAGATCAATATGATTTCCCATGTGATCTAATTTCTGTTTCTCATCAAAAGCCACTCAGTTATTAGGTTTGCTGTGCTCTCAAATGACTATTGATGTACAAATATGAGCAGTGTTGGGGAGTAACTAGTTACATGTAGCAGAATTATGCAATTTAATTACAACTGTAAACTTTGCAATCAATAATATTTGATTGATTTCTTTCCCAAAATTGCATTGACACCAATGTTTCCAGAGTTTAGGGCACAGAACAGGACACATGCTTATTTGATAACTGTTTCATTTCTTATTTGGTTTTATGTGCTTTATGTTTTAAGATTAACAGTTTTTTTCCCCAAAGCATTGTTAGATGCCAGTGTTTCCTGTCATAGCTATGCAAAGATTTAATTTCAAAAACAGTTTCAATAGCTATTTCAAACATAGCTATTAAACTATATCTTGTTAACCTTAGAACGATCTCAAAGTAAAAAGGTGCTAAAGTCTGATTTTGTGGTGGTTGCGCTTTAAAGTTAAATGATTATAATCTTAATTAAAGTGATGAAGGATTTTGAGAAGTCTGACTGTAATCAGTGTTGAGTACTACTGTAAGGTTAACCCTGCCTGCTTTAAATGTTTGAAAATGATTAATAGTTTTGTAAACATTCGTTAGAAAAGTAATCAAATGTAATCACTTTTTATTACATTTTAAATAGAGTAACTTGTAATCTGTAACCTATTAAATTTCCAAAGTAACCTTTCCAACACTGAGTATAAGCCAAAAAGATGCCAGAGGTCCCGCTGTTTGTAGGACAGCTTGCTGCTCACCTGTGCCCAGGATGTGGTCCAGCAGGTTTCGGGAGCAGTGTTGGGCCACCGCGCTCCCTGCGTGTCCATCATACACAGCGAAGAACCCCCAGTGGACCAGTTCCCCTCCTAGCTGAGGGAAGCAGTTGTGGAAATCTTCCATGTGGGCCCTCCAACCCTGCATGCTGGCCAGGGCATAGGTAAGTCCCCAGGAGCCACAGCCCTCTTGCATGTGCTTGTCCAGAACCGGTCGGTCCAAGTAGGGGCTAGTGATGACCCCTTCCTCCTCTCCTCCCTCTTCGCCTTCAGACAGCTCCCCTGCGCCTCCCCCTCGTCCCCCTTTAAAAAAGGAGGTGACCCTTTTCTCGGTCTCCTTCACCAGCTGCCTTACAAAAGCAGGCATTTCCACACTTCCTTTCCTGGATGTCCTCATGATGTCTTTTATCGTCACTTGTTCAAATCCGTTCACGGCCTCCACCCTGTGCTGTAGCTCGCTGGCTTTGGTTCGGCTGAGCCTTGCTGCTCAGGGCCTTCACAGCATTATCTCCCGAGAGGCTGATTCTGCACCTTGAAGCATCCTCGAGTGATCTGATGTAGAACGGTTGATTTTCCCTTCTTTCACTCTACCCATTGCTAGACATCTCACTGAGATCTAATCTTTCTGTACTCATAGTGGCTCTTTCCAATTTGATCCACTTTTGTTGCCTTCCTCCTCTATATGTCAGTGATATTCCCTCTCTCTAAGCTTTCTCTCTGTCTGAGCTCATTATTTTCCTGTCATCGCTCTGACTGGCTGAGCTATTTCTGTGCACCAATCATCTCGCAGTGTCCTCCCTCTTGTTGTACACACCAACATGCAATCCTTTCGCAGAGTGTCTCTCTCTCTTTCACATGTTCAATGCGTCTCTCTCTCTCTCCCTCCCTCCCTCGGTTTCTCCTCTTGAACTCCCTCTGTTAATCATCTCTGCTGAACATTTGATAATTTTGGATTACCTAACATGTACAGATTAATGTGCATAACAGTTTTCACAGCAGCCCAGTAAAAGAGAAAGGCTGAGAGAGAAGGCACAAAGTACACTCCGCTTAAAAATGTTACGTGAGGGAGATTCAGTGATTCATATTAAAGAACATGGTTCGCCTTGAGCAGAATTCATGAATGGCATATTCAAATATGAATTTGGGAGACTCTAACTAAGGTTGATTCGGACAGATTAGTGGATTATGTAAATCAAAAAAGCATTCATAAACATGATTACATAACAGGCTATTTTTGTCTTTTTAACTCTTTTTGTGGTTCCATGGAATGACGCAAACAAAAATGGCTCATGAATTTGAGCAGAATTTGTTTGATGGCAGAATGATCATTAAATCAGATGCTACGACTGACTCATCTGCTGGGCCAAGCAGCCTGAAAAAAAAAACACAAAATGAAGAAATAATAACAATAGTATTATTATCATGATTACAAAAAGAAAATAGTTAATTTCAATTAAAATGAAGTTTAGATTTTGAAAACATCTTTTCATCAATACTTTCATCGTCTTGAAGAATATTGTATCATGATAATTTTTGTATCATCTTATATTGCTTATATCATCATAAATTATATAAGAATGATAATAAATGATGCATTATTGATTCTACTTACTATTATTGTTGTTATAAATTAAACAATAAAATTATTTTATTTTTTAAATATTATACAAATTATACTGAAATGATCATTTATAGTATTATAGAACTGTACATATAATTGTACACACACACACACACACATATCTTCAGCTGGGTGTTAAAGGCCAGCACTTTTCACAGCATGTGAGAAGATAAAGCACAGCACTCTTTGAGGAACGTCTGAGTAATTTGCTTGGATCTAAGGTTAGCCATCTCCCTCGAGATGAAGACTTGTCTACACACAGACACATGCTGACGTCTCAGGTTCCTTAAGCTCTGAACGGGCCTTGAGGGAGGATAGCTGTGTGTGTGTGTATGTGTGTGTGTTCATAAAAATGGGCTGTCCAAGTGGTTGAGATATTATTAGGTCAGGCCAACCCCTTCCTGCTGACAACGCTAGGATGGCCAAAAAAAGCCCAGAGGGTTCGTGGAGCACTGGGAGGAGAGGGGGTTTGGTGTGGAAGCAGCAGAAATGGCCAGCAAAGGTGAGAGTCTTCCACGAGCTCTCCTGGGCTATATTGTTTACATGTGTAATGTGCTGGTACGTGAATAGCAGGTTGGCAGAAACTGAGTGAGGTGGCGAGGGGGGAGGTTAGGAGATCAGATTGAAGTTGAGTGGTGTACTTTAGAGGTATAGTAATACTGCTGACTGGTCAGCACATCACTCAGGATTTCCCAATGGGAGCTTGGCAGGCCGATGGAAATCTGATGGATGGACTGCCTCCAGGATCCGACTGATGCATGACTCTAGGATTTTGAGGCAAAAAAGGAGGCATTGATGTCTGAATGAAGGAGGTTAGATCTTCGCTCAGTCTTATTTTGGCAGCACTGGCAGACGTCTCCCTGGAGAGATTCAATCTGACTCGGCCATGTTAGGCTGCAATAAAGTGCTTTAGCAGGAGTGAAGGCCATGTGGTAGATTTTATGCAGAGAAGATTTCAGAGGGTTTGGATTGATCTGATAAAGGCTCGTTCAGCTTTGCACCAGTGTGCGCCACAGCACAGATTTGCACCTGCGTTTGGAGGATAATCAGAATCAACAGCTGTTGGGGTCTATTGGCTCGTAACCCGAATGAAGCACGTTGGAATTCCAAGGAATTCCACTCTTCGTGACGTCATGAAGAGCCATGCTCGAAAAAAACTCCGAAACTTATTCAAACCTGGAAGGAGTGTATTTGGCACTGAAATACTCCGTAATACGTTCAAATAACTTTTTTTTAAACTTTGGCCATGTTTAGCATGAGAATCCAACTCTTTAACAGTGTAAATAACTCAGAATGCATGAAAGGTAAACATAAAAATTCCAAATAATTTTTAGTCATTATGTGAGATGATATATTTCAGTGATACATTTGTCTGTATCTTTCAGCAAAAGCGTTGATGTTCCTTCATGCTGTAACTGTACTGACAATCAGAGGAAGGAGATTACAATTTTTTATTAAAATGAATAAAATTAGCATAATTTGAACTTTGTATTTAATTTAAAATCAGATAAAAGACTAAATGTTCAAAGTTTTTTTTCCTGAAGCTCACGTTCGCTTTGTGACGTGTGGCTCACAGTGACGAGCACATCACATGTACTGAAGTGTTTCCTGTTTTCTGTTATTCAAACGTGTCTGTAGTTCCTGTGGCCACGGCTCCGCCCACTACACCCAGCACCACCGCCGCCCCCCCCCCCCCCCCCCCCCCTTTAAAATTGTGTATGCTATTAACTAACATTTGCAGATCAACTCAAAGATTTGATGAAAATCTGCATTTAGTCTGTTTTAAAATAGTCTGAAAAATAGTCTGTTTTACCACAAAAAATTACCAGACACCCTGCGCAAACATGCATACTGTATGTGACCACCCAAATGCCCCACCACACATCCCCGTGTTTCCCTTTAAGACCGACTTCAAAGCAGTGCTGCATGGTCATTGCATTTCTCCCTCAGTCTTTTTTTCTCTATCTTTCCATCACTCTGCCTCTTTATATGTTTATTTCCTGACATTTCACGCATTAATTTTTCTTACCCTCTCTAGTGTTGGATCTGTTATACTGGCGAGATGTGGGGACCACCGGGCTGGTGTTTACAGGTTTGGTTGTGGGTTTGGCTTGTTTGTTCCAGCTCAGTGCCATCACGATCCTGTCCAACCTCGGTTTAGGCATTATGGCCTTCACTCTCCCTGTATGCTTGCTCTACAAAGCCATGACGCTTGTCCGCCTCAGTGATGGATCTCATCCTTTTCAGTGAGTATGCTGTAAAACAAATACGTTTTTACATAGATTTAACCCTAAAGGTGTAACTAATTCTGCCGTTTACAGTAGATGGAGTAGTAGCAGAAGTCTTGTCAGTGTTTGCGTCGATTAGTTTTAAAATCACTTATTCATTCAACAACGAAACAAGTGCAATTGTGAATGAACTATGAAAATGTGATGAAAACAACAACAATTGTGTGATATTGCTTATAAAGTTACAGACCCCCAGTCTGCCCTATTTGCAAGCTGGTTTCAACGGATGAGTTCACTCATATATCAAGTTGATCATGGGTTAAAATATTAATCCTTGAGATGCATAACAGATGTGTAGATTTAAAACAAATAGTGAATGATTTGGCAGGAGCTCGACGGAGGGAAAAGCAACTAAAATAAGTCTGGATTAGTACATGTAATCTTTCTCAGCTGGTCCACTTTGCTTTATTAAAAAGGTCATATTTGGATGAGGACCGTACACTGACAGATGAGGACACAGTTCGCATAGCGGAACAAATCGTTCTGCTGATTGCTACAGCTGTCACCGAGTTGAAGAGGCTGTTCTTCATCGATAGCATCATGGACTCAGTGAAGGTCTCACACGCATCTTAAATATCTCACCTCAGCTACACCGAACAGTTTTCACGCTTTTACTGCAATTTATGGCCTACTTTCACCACATCTGGGGATACTACTCTCTTACGTAATTAGTCCTGATATGAACTATTACCATGTGCTTTCATTCCCAAAGGCAAAGGTTCTGTGAAAATAAGCATGTGTGAAAGTAAAGAAATTCGAAAAATGTACCTTTATTATTATAAGAACATAATGTTCCTGGTACAGCAGGGTGCTAGCCATAGATTCAAATTCCCAGCAAACACAAATACCGATAAAAATACTGTATATAGGCTACCTTCAATGCACTGTTAATGTCTTTGGATAAAAGCATCTACTGTAACATCTAAATGTAAATATGATTACAAAATCTAAAGTAAAATGATTTAAAACCAAATATATTGCTTTTATCTGAATGATTGTATTTTATTTGTTTGTGTAGTTTGTTGTGTTCCTGTATTTGTTGACCTATGTGGGGGTCCAAGACAATGGTCTTACGCTGTTGATGACCGGTAAGGATATCCTGTTTAAATTTGTAAAGATTCATCACAAATCACAGCTGACACTATTTTTGACCTAATGTCATTAACTAAACAGAGTCAGAGTGATGTGGATCATACTTCATCAAGTATTACTGCTTTGTTGTGATGATACATGATATTAACGTACAGTAATTCATCACCTTTGAACAGGTGTGATATGTGCCTTCTCTCTACCACTGTTGTACAGACTTCAACAGGTAAGTGTGTGCCTCATTTGGACTTTACACACAGGCCTATATTCAAAAAAAGAAAAAAAAGACAAATTGGGGCTTTTTATGTATTGGTCAAAATGTGTTTAGAAATTTCTTTATTTTCCTAACCAGAAATGCACTTATTATCAGATCTCACTTATGCACATATAAACATAGGCTATTTCAGACTTAGCACTTATTTTTGTTTTCATTTTTGACAGAAAAGGATCGACAAGATTGCCAAAGCAATCAAAAAACTTGTAGAAAAAGGCACCGAACTGTAAGTCTCCATCATTCTGACATGAGCCATAATGAAAATGATTCAAAGTGAGGCAGGAAAAAATAATCAAGCTTACATCTTAAAGGAATAGTTCACCCAAAAATGAAAAATTGCTGAAAATGTACTCATTCTCAGGCAATCCAAGGTGTAGATTATCAGAATCAGAAAAGATTTGGAAAAATTTAGCATTACATCACTTGCTCACTAATGGATCCTGTGCAGTGAATGGGTGCCGTCAGAATGAGAGTCCAAACAGCTGATAAAAACATTACAATAATCCTCACGACTCCAGTCCATCGATTAATGGCTTGTGAAGTGAAAAGCTGCATGTTTGTAATAAACAAATCCAAGGTGTTTAACCTTAAACTGTCATTTTTTGTCAAACTAATGTATAATCCATAAAAACGCTTGCTCCAGTGGAAAAAGTTCACCCCCACTGGACATCAAAATCATATTTGTCTAGAACTGTTTTGGACTGTTTTCACTGGTAAACGGCGTTTGAACTGTGCATATTTCTCTCCTAATTAGGAAGAATTAGGAGAAAGCAATATTATAAATGGCAGACTCATATTTTAGCTGGAAGCAACAGTTTGAAGCGAAAAACATCATAATGATGGATTTGTTTATTACAATCACACAGCTATTCACTACACAAGATGCTAATTGGAAATGGACTGGAGTCGTATAGCTTACTTGGACTCTCATTATAGTGGCACCCATTCACTGCAGAAGATCTATTGGTGACGTAATGCTACATTTCTCAAAATCTGTTCCAATGAAGAAACTAACTAATCTACATCTTGGATGGCCAGAATCAGTACATTTTCTGCAATTTTTGGGTGAACTATTCCTTTAAGTCTAGTTGAATCCAAATGTTTAATTTCTCCCTGCAAAGAAACAAATGATAATCAAACCACATTCGTTATGACTTCAATTAACTACAACAACCATGGTTTACTTTCTTGAATTTATCATATGTTCTCCACTTCTCTTTTCTAGAGTTGATCTTGTGATTTCATTGGCCAAACCTCCACCAGCCCCAGCCCCAGCACCTTCCCCTTCCCCCACAGCAAAACATAAACAGAAGACTAAATGAAGTGGAGAGAAAGAGAGAGAGAGAGA